AGGAGGGAGGTTTTGCAATGTGTGACGATGCTACACTCTGCCCAGCAGGGGGTGCTCTCCACCCTGCCCCTGCCCAGTCCCCCTGAATCTGAGCCTGGGGGGGGGGTGCATGCAGCCCTCACCCGCCCCCTGCCCTGGGACTCCGACGGCCCAGCCCCGACTGCGTGTCTGTTTGGGCTCTCCTGCAGGCTACACCCGCCAGCGGCGTTACAGAGAGCATGATGGTTCCTACAAGCCCTATCAGGGAAGCACCGGCAGCACCTGGTATGGCACCTTCCTTGTGGGGGGTGGCGGGGCTGGGGATGGTGAGCTGGCCACAGCGTGCAATGCTGACCTCCCCTGGCGGGGCGTAGAGCTGCTTGCGCTGCGTGTCATACACCCTATACAGCTCACAGCGAGTGGGGATTCTCCGTTCACTCCAGTGTCCTGGGCAGGGGCAGCGGGAGCTGGGGTCTGTGCTGGTGTGGGGGAAGGCCTGGCTGTGCTGCTGCGAAGGGGGCAGGGTCCCGTCCACACAGAGCCCTGCAAGGGGGCAGTGCCACCGCCTGGCTCAGCTCCCCGCAGTGATGTGTTTGCAGCAGCTCCCTCGGGCACGGTGCTGCCTCTGCTGGGTCTGGCCACAGCTCTCCCGTGGCCTGGGAGCTCCCCTCCCCTCCAGCCCTACAGATTCATGCTCCCCCCGCCCCCGGCAGGCTGACCGCCTACATCCTCAAGGTGTTTGCCATGGCCTTGCCACTGGGCACCCACATCGACTCCAGCGAGCTGTGTGCCAGCGCCCGGTGGCTGATCGGCCAGAGGCAGGAACCGTCTGGGCGTTTCCGCGAGGAGGCTGCAATTTATACACCCGCGATGCAGGTACCGGTCGCTCCATTGGCCAGACGGGAGGCCGGGCAGGAAACACAGGCCCAACAGATGGTGCGATGGGCTACGTTGTCCTGGCAAAGCTCCGTCCCTCGCCCGCAGTCACACCAGGGGGCCAGTGACAGCTCAGGGATCAGCACCCGGAGCCCCCCTCCTGCTGCTGCATGCGCTGGCTGGGCATGACGGCGCGGGCGCAGGGCCCCGGGAGGTGTTGGTTGGATCAGAGAACGACTGATCCAGCTAGTGGAGTTGCCTCCCCCAGGGGTACTTCTGGGTATAAATTCCTCCTCGGGGAGATGAGGGAGTGAGTCCGGGACTGCGGAGCAGCGCATTAACTGGATTTGTCTGCTAAGATGATCTGCAGCAAACAGAGCCAACATTGCTCGTGTCATCCTTAGGCTTCAGAGTCAACAACCCATTGGGGCAAGCGGGGCAGTTCGCCCTACACCCCCGCAGCCCTTCCAGTGGCGTAGCCAGCTTTTAAGAGGAGGGGGAGCAAACCTAAAAAAGGCGCCCCCCCTTGGCTCCTCCTCTGGCCACGCCCCCTGGCTCCCCCAGCCACGCCCCCTTGGCTCCTCCTCTGGCTGCACCGCTGACCGCCCCTCCCCCCCGCTCGCTCCGGCCACCATGCTGCGCCCCCCTCGCTCCTCCAGCCATGGCTGTGGGGCCGGGCCGCATGCTGCAGCCCCCTGCTCCTCCGGCTGCGCTGTGGGCGGCCAGCCTGTGCCCCCCCTCGCTCCTCCCGCCGGCAGCCGCCTTTGGAAAGGCGCCGCTTTTGGGAAAAGGGGTGAGGGGAAGCGGCTGCTTCCCCTGCACCCGCTAGCTACGCTACGAGCCCTTGTCTCAGGCTCTCTGCACGCTCTCACCCCTGGGAGGGCTCAGGGACACCCTTTTACCGAGTGCTCTGGGCACGTGGCCCCCTGGCAGCTGGCTACGCAGGGCGCACGGGTAGGGTCCTTTGGCGCCGTTCCTCCCTGCCCAGCTGCTGCTCGGGTCTGCCCCCGCCCTGGGCAGGGCCCAGTGATCGGGGGTCCGGGCGGGGGAAGGGAGCCAGGTGCCCGCACGGCTCCCATACAGCTCGCCCATCCCCTTCTGCTCTTCTTTCACAGGGCGGGTACCAAGGCTCCAACGCCGACGCCTCCCTCACAGCCTTCGTCCTCGTGGCGCTGAAGGAGGCCGAGTCCATCTGCAGTAACCATGTGAAGGTAGGACAGTGACGGCTGCCCCACGACCTGTCCCGGGGGCCCAGCGCGGCCCCCTCGGCGGCAGCTGCACCGGCGGGGCCTCTGCAAAGCGAGCCCAGATGCCAGGTGAACGCTGCTGCCTTCGGTGGGACACCTCTGAGAGTGTCAATTCAGGACATATTGCTCATAGCGGGGCAGTTACAGCCCCAGGCTGGGGTCCTTTGCACACCCAGGCACCAAACCACAGAGGACTTCGGTCTCACCCCACTGGCAAACCACAAGTCACACCAGCAATTCCCTCAGACACTCCAGTTTCCCAGTATCACCACCAGCACCGCTTCTTATGGGGATGAATGGTTATGAAAACCAATACCCCAGTAAAAGGAAAAAGGTTCTCTCGATCCCAAAGGACCAAGCCCCAGACCCAGGTCAATATACAAATCAGATCTTACCCACCAATCACGCTGTTGCCAATCCTTTAGAATCTAAACTCTAAAGGTTTATCGACTCTTCCAGGTGGTAGGACACCTCTTTGTCCTTACTGTGGAAAATTACAGCAAGATGGAGTTTGGAGTCACATGGGCCAGTCACATGTCCAGGCATGACTCAGTGCTTTACAGGTGGCAGCCATTGCTCACATGCTACCTCAGGGGTCCTCAAACTGGGGATCGGGACCCCTTAGGGGGTCGCAAGGGCATTACATGGGGGTCGGGAGCTGTAAACTCCATCCTCAGG